CCGATTCATCGATTTTTAAAATAATCGTTAGTTGCAGCCCTAGTTCAAACAAGACTCAAAGTTGTTTTTTTTTATTCTTGAAAATAATAAGTCTTTTTTTGAACAGCAGTTATAAAGACATACATGCTTGTTGTGGCTGCTTTGTCATGGTACATTTTGACATGCTGCCATTATGCCGCTCGCTATGTTCATAAAATGAACTAGATGGTTGAAATTGGAGAATCTAAACGTTTTACCAGTGTAATTTTCATGCATTCTGAGTTAATATTTTTAAATGCTTTCAAACCACCATGGGTATTGAGAGGTTAAAATCTTCTCAGCTCTGACTGGCATGCAGTGGGAACACTGGAGCCGGGTTAACCTGCTTAATTGCATGATACCATTGGGCATCTAACAAGTAGAAACAACTCTGTTTACATTTGATAAATATGGAGCAGCTCTGGTGAGAGGGATTAAGACAGATAAAAGAGGGTTACTCTCCATTGTTTATTTCCTGATTTCTGTTGCACTACTGACATCATCAACGCTAACCCAGCATGATGGCCATGATGTTTGAAAAAACATGCATTAAATGCGGTATTTTCAGTGGGAAAGAGGCTTTGGAAGGGTTTCCATCGTGGAGAAGCTACACACAATCTGACAACTGCAGGGCCTCCAGGCACCTTTCAACCACTAAAGGTATGAACTCTGCATCAAACCAATGATCAAAATCTCAGCAAGCAACTAGTTACAGCTGTAACATTGGTATTACCTAGTATTGCTTTCCAGAGTGCAGCTACCATTGACGTTAGCGTCGGCTGTAAGACCTCTAAGGTGGTTGGTTTGAGACTCACCTTAAATTTTGAAAGTTGCTATCATACTTAATGTATCATACTTTAGTATTTTGGGTACTGTGACCAATTTGTATTGGTTTGTCCTTGTACAAATATAGAATGGGTAAAACACCAAATTAGATTGGTTGGTTTAGCCATAAGATTGGTCGAACACATAACTTCCAACCCGATTTAAAAACCGGTCTTGGCAATCCTTATTTCCATTTAAGTCCTTAAAAAATGTGCATCGTAGCACATTCAGCAGATAATCCACTGACAGAGACATTTTTTCAGGCCAAAGTGAGATATGGACGCAACCCTCCACAGGTCAAATGCTGGTCAGTTTATCTGGTGGCAGAAAAATGAGCCACAGAAGACGGCATCCAAGTTCAACCGCTGAACTGGGTTCAGTTCTTACCTCCGACCTGAAGGTGTCAGTAAGAACCAAAGCTGCCACTGATGTCAGAAGAGGAATCATTCAAAGGAACCATAGAAACAGCCCTAAAGAGGGAAAAAGGAAAGAAAACATTAATTTTCTTTCAAATTATGACAAGCTTACAAAGAACTGGTAAAAGCAAGTTACATGGTTAGTTAAGAAGCTGGTTAATGTTTTGTTCCCACCATTGGCATTTGGGGCGGCCATTTTTATAAAAAGGCATAAAATGCAGAATAACAGAGCAAATGAACATGAACATATATGGTATTTTCTAATGTTTTCTTTGCAACTAATCTTCTTTACGCTGTTGAAATATCTCTGCAAAAACAAGTTTTTCCAATCAATCATCCAATGGATTGGAATAATTGATTTATTTTTGTCCTTTATTTTACCAATTTTTGTTCTACCTTGCAAAAAAATCTATAAATATTGAATAATTTCTTACATTTAGTGTATTTACCCTTATTTTGAGTAGGTAAATAAGATGATCTGCCAATGAAATTAGTATTTTTACTCCTAATAAGATAATTAGATCAAATGCACTTGAAATAAGCAAACAATGCAATGCAGTTTATCTCTTATTTTAAATCTAAATTGTCTTGTTCCATTAGCAGTGTTTAACTTAAGAAAAAATGCAGGTATTTTAAGAAAAAAAAAAGGCTTATGTAGATTTAAATTATTTGCAGTGCAACATCTCACTCTTCTGGTTTCAGTTGCAGCACCGTAATATTTGGCCAATTTGCAGAATTCTGCACCGATCGGACTCCTGTCTGAGTTTAGAAAATATATCACAGTCACCAGAATTGTGGTTCTGGTTCCAGCTTTTCCGTACCACATGTTGATTTGACCTTTGGCAATGCATGTTGTCAGCTCAACTCTTCTTTTGTGAGTCAGATGTTTATAGAAAGTTATGTGGATTTTGTCTTGACCGAAGGCTGGTTCTGCTCACCAGAACCATCAAGTCGAAATGAAACAAGTGGAACATTGACAAAAGTGAACCTGAAAGGTAAAGGTGACAAGTGTACTTGTCACCTTTGGATACTTGAGGTGAGGTGTTGACTCATGGAAAGAATTTAAACCAAGACCAACAGAGCAGAATATGGCTGACTGGGTCGTCCACCTGAGCCTGGTTACAAACCATCAGTACAGCTGCAGATGTGCAGTTTATCCCTGAGGACAGCTGTTGGGACGAGGATGCTGAGACACCATAGTGTGTTTCAGGGGTGGCTGATATCAAAGCCTTCTCTGGGGAGTGGAGGGGTGGGGGGGCTCACTGTAAATATCTTAGCAACATGAGGGCTCGTCTGTAAATGCTTCTGCACAAGGAGGTAAAAAAAAAATGGACTAAAACATCCGGACTTCCTTTGAAGCAGCCTTTCATCTGTCTGCCTCCCTCCTCCCCTCCTGTTTATCAGCTCCTCCAGCCAGGCCAACGCCCAGCCGCTCCTCAACCGTTACTGCTGTGGTTACACTCCTCCCTCCGGGGGGACAACCCAACACTGCCACAAGCATAGAGCATCTTTCATTTCACGGCGGGTCCAACCCATTGGAGCATTAAGGAGCTCCTCTCTGCTCGCCCTCACCTCACCCTGAACCTGAGCAGACTAAGACGCAGCTTCAGTTAAACACTGCCTGTCCAACATGTCCTGTCCTCCATGTCCAAACACTAGAGCAGCAGTAAATGAGCTGAATTCAACCTGTTTATCAAAGATGGAGGGAA